TCGTGGTCGATCGCGCGCGTGTGGCGGCGGCGCGCGCGCGCGGCGGGGTCTCGGCGACGTGTCTCGGTATTGGACGTCATCGAGCGCCATGTGTGTCCGTGGCGACCGCGCGCGCGGGATGGGCGACGGATGGGTCGAACATGGGGGTTTTGGTGATTGTATACGTATGGGCGCCATCGCGCGCGGCGTCGTCGGCGCCATCGCGCGCGGCGACGGTCGGTCCACGGTCGGTCTCGAACGACGGGCGCGATGGCGACCGCGAGGGCGATCGCGCGTGGGTGCGCGCGCGCGCGCAGGGACGACGGACGGGGGTGGAGCTCGACGTCGGAGAAGCGCGTGACGTTCGTGCGACACGCGGAAGGATTTCATAATCTGCGGGACGCGGTGACGTTCGACGTGACGTACAACAGCGCGATTAACTTCGACGCGAGGTTGACGCCACGGGGTGAGAAGCAGTGCGCGGACGTGGCGGCGAGTGGGGCGTGTGGGGGGGCGGAGTTGGTGGTGACGAGTCCGATGACGCGATGCGCGCAGACGTCGCTTTTGTGCTTTCCGTACTTGGTGGCGCGGGAAGACGTGCCGTTCGTCGCGAACGAGGACGTGCGGGAGACTGTGAATTATTGGTGCGATCGTAGGCGGGCGACGGAGGAGTTGGAGCGGGAGTTTGGGTCGAGGATTGATTTCAGTCGGTGTCCGGCGACGGATGAGCTGTGGGAAAAATACGAGCGCTTGGCGGGGCCGCCCGATCAATGGACCAAGCACAGGGAATCGTGCGACCTGTATTCCGTAGCGAATCGCCTACGCGCGTTTCTTACGTGGTTGGCGGCGAGACCGGAGCGGGATGTGGTGGTTTGTTCGCACAGCGCGACGCTACGATGCTTGTTCTCTTACGGGCATCCGGGAGGCGTTCGCGGAGCGCCGGAACAGATTTTCGACACGGGTGGCGTCCCAGACACGGCGCAGGGTATGCCGGTGATCGTATACGACGACGACGTCGAGTTTGAGCGCTCGATGCGAGCAGATTTCGAGAACGCGGAGTACCGAACGTGCGTCGTCGATTTTTCATATTTGTCCCCTCGCGAGGCGTGAGACGTCGAGCGAGCCAGTTGTCACTTTTAACTTTCATGTAATATCTGCAATTATTTCGAGTGTATCATCGCGCGGTGCGTGACCGTTGTATCGCCTACGATCGATCGCTCGCAGTAAAACGGTAACGGTACACGGTACGTGTCTGTCAAATTGAAACGCGGCGCTTGTCATTAAAAATTAATTTCCTGTCTTGTTGATTAGTTGAATTTACGCGTCCCATCCCCGGCGAACGACTCGCACTCATCGACGCTCGCGTCTCCGTAGTCACCCTCCATCTCGTCCAAGGAGTCGTACGTGTTCCCCTTGGCGTCCCAATACATCCAGCTCTTGTCGAGCACGTGCGCCATGCGGCGCTCCTTCGCGGCGAGATACCCCTCGTTGAAGAGGTTCGCCTTGACCACGCACGCGATGCGCCCGGTAATTTTAATCCCCCCACACTCTAATTCCCGAATCTTTCTCGGGTTGTTCGTCATCAACCGCACGCTCTTCACGCCGAGCTCGGCGAGCATGTTCTCCACCGCCGTGTACTCGCGCGTGTCGTCCGGCAACCCCAGCTTTCTGTTCGCGTCCACCGTGTCCACCCCACCCTCCTGCACCGCGTACGCCGCGATTTTATTCGCCAATCCAATCCCTCTGCCCTCTTGCTGCAGGTAAATCACCATCCCCGGTCCGTTGTCCTTGATGTAATCCATCGCCATCTCCAACTGCTGCTTACAATCGCACTTCATCGACCCCAACACCTCGCTCGTGAAGCACGCGTCGTGCACCCGCAGCGGAACATCCTCCAAGCCCTCCACGTCACCGTACACCACGCACACCGGCTCCGTGACCGCACCCGTGTTCGGATTCGCGTGTCTGTACCCCCGCACGCGATAAAACCCGCGCTCCGTGGGCAACCGCGTCTCCGCCACGAACGTCGTCGCCCGCGCGTGCGCGCCGGGCATTTTCGATCGAAGTTCCGTCTCCTCCGGCGTCGATCGCGCGTCGACGCGCCGTGGCGCGCCCGTCGTCGCGCGCCGCGACGTCGTCGCTGTCATTCGTCT